GACAGAGTATACAACAATTCTGCAAGGCCCTACATAGTGGGTGAGGCGTTAAAGCTTTCCAAAGCTCATAGTTAGGCTTGGCGTGAGAGGGTGAGGCAGTTGTGTGCAACGCGGTGTCCTGTTCGGCGATGCCTTCGTCGCTGTCGTACTTTAGGTAGTTGACCATTGGGGGGGGTGTCGTATTTTCCCTTGTCTTAGGCAGGAGGGCGTTCAAGGCCTCGAGGTTCTGAGCGAGGCTACATCGATGACGGGGAGTGCTGCCTGCATGTCCATAGGGTGTAGGGGGAGTGATTTGTTGCGCCTTGATGGGCTCACTCCTCGCTTTACACATTCTTTTAATGTCGATGCGGGTGTTCCGGGGTAGTGATGTTGATCTGGCTATGGAGGTCACTCGTGAGGTCAACCATATTTTGGAGGCCTGCCTTCTTGACAGTCTTTTCAGTCGCGGCATCCCTCGATTTCTCCTGCTGGATCTGAGGGTCTTGAAGGGCTTGGAAGTGAAGTTCTGTTTTGATCTAGTTTTTCCCATTCTAGAGGTGTTAGTAGTGTCAAGTAGCAATGAGAGTACTAATTCGGTTGTTCTTTCTCTCAACGAGTGCATCAAACTGCAAAGCCTATTGTAGAGAGAAAGTAATCTTGTATTAAACGAGATTCAAACCCTTTATAACTATCCCAAAGGGGCATTTATATACTCTAGTAATAACTGAGAGTTTCATTAAATGCGCGTACACGTGTAAGTTATTCTATGGGCGAAACCCCTATGGCACTACATAGCGCGACACATGTCATTGCTTAACCGACTCATGAGCCGATGTATTCTGTTGGATGAGGTGGCATAGGTCGAGGTGCACAGGTGCGTGCGCACCTCGTCCCTGATGTTTCCTATGTTCTTGAGTGCTTTCGTTTGGGATATCCAGATGGTGCCGCACGAGGTGTCACTAGATGAGGTGACTGATACAAACAGTGATACGGGTTTGGTGCCCTAGACCGACTTTGGTTGAGAGGACCCAGATGAGGAGTGTAGATCAGGTGGGCTTGAGCCGCTGTGTATCCAAGGGTATGTGGGTCGAGAGCCTCAAAGTCTCAGACCATTTACTCTATCAGTCATATAAAAAATATCATTAGTAAAATTTGACCATTATTGACCAAGAAAAGTCAATTTGGCCAAAATTTTATGCGATGGAGAGAATATATATTTACGGGAGGATTTTCTTAGGCATAATCATTATATGGAACAGGAAAATGCCAAAAATGCTTGAACCTGGGATGAAGAACCTACACACACATACTATATATATACACACACACAAATGTTCCTGTCAGGTATACCTGACAGGAACCGCCGTCCGGCCTCCTCCTTTTGGGGGCCTTCCCGGTGGTATTTTTTGCTCAAATTTTTTGTGTATGTTCCTCATCAAGTCTAGTTCATCCATACCAAATTTCAGCAAAAAATTCAATCGGGAAGGTCGTCAAATGATTTTTGCAAGTTAACTGGTCCGGAAAATACATACATACATACATACATACATACAGAGGACTGCTCAGGTCCCTCCGGAGGGACGGGAGGGGCCGTCCGAACTTTACTGTTTGGGGCGGTTCCCGGTGGAATTTTTCGATGAAAGTTTTTGAGCATGTTCCTCATCAAGTCTAGTTTGTCCATACCAAATTTCAGCTCAAAATTCGACCTGGAAGGCAGTCAAATAAATTCTTGAAACTTACTGCACTTTATATATGCGCAGAATGTGCAGTAAGCTTCAAGAATTTATTTGACTGCCTTCCCGGTCGAATTTTGAGCTGAAATTTGGTATGGACAAACTAGACGTAATGAGGAACATGCTCAAAAAATTTCATCAAAAAATTCCATCGGGAACCGCCCCAAACAGTAAAGTTCGGACGGTCCCTCCCGTCCCTCCGGAGGGACCTGATCTTTTCTGCATACATACATACATACATACATACATACATATATATATATATATATATATATATATATATATATATATATATATATATAGGGCGTGGTTCCAATGAGAACGGTGCTTAATGTGAGAACGTGAGAACAAATCCTGGCTTTTAATTAAGAGAATCAGACGGTTGATTAATGCGTAGGTGTACAATTAGTTCCTACGTTGCGTAACATAGAAACACATTTAACAAACTAAAATAACCATACGTGGCTTGTGCACAGGGTAAAATCGTCTACCCTTTAAAAATCATTTAATGTAGTACCCGTTCAAGGTTGTCACCTACCAAAAAATTAGGAAGAGATTAAATGTCAAATCTTAAAAAATGTTTTAGTTTTAAAATTGATTTAACTTTTTAAATTATAATCTGATTTTAACAAAAATTATATCAAATTAAATAACTTTTTATGATCTTTCAAATGAGATCCATATGACATATACAATTTTGTTTTAAAAAAAAATGTATAATATGCACACAATAAACCACAACAAACATTATCTTCAACTATCACATGTACTATATTATGTATCTAACGCACAACTACTAAGATCTGATGCACAAGAAACAATATCCAACACACAATATGCATAAAAAAAAAACTAAATCAAGTATCTTCAGCACAAAATCCAATGTCTAATGCACAAAGAACAATATCTAACACACAAAATTAAAAACTAATTAATATATAACATATAAGGATTTCACACAACTTAAACTAATACTACCTCCGTTCTCTTTTAGTTGCAACATTGGACTTTTTGCACTATTCACATGTTCTACTTTGACTACATTTTATTAATTGATGTATAATAAATTAAATTTTTAAAAAATATTGTTAAATTCTTCTCATTCTAAAATTTCAAAAAATGAATTTTTTAAGTTTTTTACTAACAAGGAATAAAAAATATTAATGGTCAAACTTGTGTGTTGGAAAACGTGAAATGTTGACTGTTGCAATTAAAAAGGAACGGAGGAAGTATATAATACACTAGAATCAATATATAATGCACAATACGAATGAAAGCCCAAGAAGCAATATCTAATGCACAATCACCAATATCTAATGCACACAAAAACATAGTAGCTCACACAATTAATAACTAATATTGAACACAAGATTTCATATAATTTAAACTAATAATATATAATACACATGAATTAGTATCTACGGCACAATATGTATACTACGTATATGTTAAAGAACTCGTATGTAGCACATAATATGGACATAGAGCATTACAACAAATACATCATATCATGCACAAGAACCGGTATCAAAAGCACAATCCCAAGTGGTGCATTTGAGTGACACAATAGTGCAATAGTGAATTGTACGGATGCATATGACTAAGTAAAATATGCAAATGTTAAGACCTAAAGTATGTTTAACATATGAAAATCATAAATGTGCAATTGATAGTCATTCGTTGTGTAGTAAGTGAAAAACAAGTGTACATCACTATTTGATAATTACATTTGAGAAATATAAAATTGATGTATTAGCTAGTGATTAAGAAAAAAACCAATATGAAAAAATAAATACGAATGACAACCATTTCCTTTTCTTTTATTTTGTATGAACTAACAATATTTACATTCCAAGAATAGAGGACAATTTAAATTCCAGTGATTAGCAAAATGCAAAAACGTCCAAAAGAACTGAAATTGCACAAATCAACAAACCTGTTAAAGTAAAGTTCAAAAGGCAAAGTTTCATAAAAAGAAATAAATATTTTGATTGAATAAACGTAAAAGTAAACTCACGTGAGTTTATAAAAGGAATAATGCTATTCTTCCCATCCTAAAAGTGCGCAGCATTACTTCAAAGTCGATACATTCAAATCCCAAAAACTGAAATGTCGGGTTGCCAAAGTAGAAAAAGACGTATATGTCCTTTCCGTAGTCTTATTTAATCACGGATGGTTATTGATTTTGGATGGCTGAGATTTGTTCTCACGTTCTCACGTTAAGACTCGTTCTCATTTGAACCAAAATATATATATATATATATATATATATATATAACGAATCCAAAATAGTGGTGTATTTAAGACATTCTTCAAAAAATTCAAGAACAAAACAATACGTTTATTGTTTGAGTTCTACATAGAGTTTTCTAAAAATAATACTAAATAAACGGTATGGACAAAAATATGATCACTTTAAAAAATCGCTAAAGGCAACCCTCGACAAAGGCAAGGGGATGCTTCACGAGGAAGATGCTATGCACAAGATCAACCAAGAGCCTCACCCCCAACACTTTTTTCTCCTTCAAAACTTTCAGTAGACATGAATTGTATTTAAACAGGGGCACAACATGATTCATGTACAACAATTAAAATCGCTACCAGAATAGAGGACAGAAAAGTATTTTATTAAAATTTTAAAATTGAAAAAAAAAAAAAAATTGAATCTGAAAGGTTGGCCAGAAATCTGGTTAGAATGAAATTTCAAGTGTAGGAAATAGGAATATACATCAAGAGTAGGGCTGGACTCGGTTCGGGCCGGGCCCGGTTCGGGCCTTGAACCGGCCGGGCCTCGGTTCACCAAAAGGAGGGCCCGGGCCCGAACCGGCAGGTGACCGGTTCCGGGCCGGTTCCGGGCCAGACCGGGCCGGTTCCGGGCCGGTTCCGGGCCAGACCGGGCCGGTTCCGGGCCGGTTCACCCGCCCCATTTTTTTTTTTTTTTTTGATTTTTTGGCTTCTCTTATTTAACCCCCTACCCCTCCCCCTCAACCCCAAACCACCCCAAACCACCTCAAATGGCCCAAAATACCTAATCCAACCCAAAAATTAAAAAAATTTCAAAAAAGAAAATTAAAAAAAAATTATTCCAGCCCGGACCGGGCCCGAACCGGCCGGGCCGGTTCACCAAATAGAGGGCCCGGGCCCGGAACCGGTATCCACCGGGCCGGTTCGACCCGAACCGCCGGTGGACCGGGCCACCGGGCCGGGCCGGTTCACACAGTAACCGGGCCGGGCCGGTTCCGGTTCGGGCCGCCCGGCCCGAGTCCAGCACTAATCAAGAGTGTGCACTTTATGCAAATACTATACCTATAAGCTTTTTACATACACAGATGAGAGACATCATGGTTTCACCATTGTCAACTGCCAAACCTAGCATTCTAGCAAGGATCTCAAAACTCCTATGTATGAAAACTCAAGTTCCATAAAAATGGAAGTGTTCTGTGCATCTCACCATCATGTCTAGAGTGGGTGGATTGACCAGTTTAACGGAGGTGACAACAAAAATTAGTGTAAGATATTCCTTACAGCCACCAATAGGTTTCTAACTCCATCAACAGATTTTTTTTTAAGAAATGGCAGCATTGACACCTAAGTTGTCAGTTCACAGGATCACACTGAGATTTCCAGCGACGTGGAGGTCTCTCTAGTCTTGGTGGAAGAAACCTTGTCTGAAAACAAAAAAAAAATCATGAGATTTTTTGCAATCTTATATTTGAAACTAATTTCCCATCATTTCCAATGGAGCTAAAAACTCACTATTTTTTGGCTTGAGAATATCATGGAATAATATAAAATGGCTCACTTAACTGTCTGCGCTTCTTTGTTATAAAGAAGAGGTCAGTCCATGGTTTATCTCGAAACAGTCTCATTGTGCTTTAGTACCATGGTAAGGAAGCGTACATCCGACCACCCTTACCTTACTGTAGGTGGGACCCCTACGGTGGGGTAAGGGTGGTCGGATGTACACTGCCTTACCCCTGTATTAAAGCAATGTTGTTTTGCGTTGTATATTTGAAACTAAATGGAGCCCATCACCTCATATATCAATCTACCCAAGGGCAGAAGTTGAAGCAATGGCACTATATGAAAAGTACCAAAGTGCCTACTATATACCCCCCCTGCCGCATAAGTTGGCCATAACATTTAAAGGCAGATAGTGCATATTGAGAATTCACAATGCACACATGTTTTACAAAAATCTTAATACAAGAATACACCTTATATTTACACCTTTTTGTTACAAGAACTCTTAAAGACATGGTTCATGATGGAGGACAGTTTCAAAATACACATTGTATTTATGCCTATGAATATAGGCATAAAATGGTAAGGAACATATTAAGTTGGAGTCAATCAAAAACCCTTTTAACACTAACCATTTTCCTTTTCCATTTTCTTTCTGCTCCGCCATAGAAGCCGAATAGGTGTGCCTGAAAACCCTGCATTAGATCTCAGCTGTTTCTCCATGTACCGTCGGTATGTCTCTGGGAAAAGTTTTGCATCATTGACAAAGAAAACAAATGTCGGTGGTCTAATAGCAGCCTGCAGATATATAGCAGATATTAGCACAACTATTTCCAGTGCATATTCGGTCAATGACAAAATATTAGGCCCAAGGAATTGCTACTGGGCTGTTTGAAATTGAGATTTGAAACTTAATATTATTAAAGGTCTATTGAGTACCTGAGTGCAATAATATACGCGACCCCTCTTCCCACCTCTAGTTCTTGGAGGTGATTTGAAGGCCACTGCCTCTCGTACTACTTGATTCAGTATTGATGTGGTTAACCTTCTTGATCTCTCCTTTTCAACTACTTCAGCAGTTGAAATGATTCTGGACCAAATCAAGTGATATAAGTTGGGCAGTAACGTGAAGGACTACTCAAAGAAATAACCAAATATCAATAATACTGCTTATTGACCATATATATTTGGATTCTATAAATAAAGTTCTTATTTTGATGCATTTTTTTACTTCCGCACAATGCAACTAAAATTGCAAATATGAACAACATTCATTAGCAACAATGTAATATCTATGTTATGTGAATAAAGCTAACAAATGCTGTAGCGTGATCAAATAATTGATAATTATGGCTATTACAGTACCGTACTGATATAGGAATAATTAGCTTCAGAAAAAAAATCGAGAAAAATGGAACATAATGGCATAATGAGCTTCACTACAGACGGTCCTACTCCAACATATAGTATTGCATATCCAAAAAGCAACTTTTGTTTATCCATAGAAGCGTGAAAAGTTAAACATGTTACAACATTAATATCATTAGAGAATTCCGGGATGATCTCAAGTAGAATGAAAATAGTTTTTATCAAGATTGCATACTTTTCAACGCTATGCCCTGCTATTGCTGTTGAATATACAATTGGTGCCCAACCAAGAAGACGGAGTTTCTCCCTAACATCTTGCTCATACATAGTTGCAGTGGACTGGTTTTTGTTGGGAATTGTGTCCCACTTATTCACAACAATCAAGCAACCTTTGCCTTCGTTTTCAATTCTCTCTGCAATCTTGTAATCCTAAAAAAACAAGAAAGCAACTGAGTTCACAAAATAATGCATGGAAGCTGAAGAAAAGAGAAGAAAATAATGGTATTTTTTTTTGCAATCACTTATCACAAAATTATCATGAAAAATAATGAGTTTAAAAATAATGCACGCAAGACTGCAAGCTGAAGAAAAGAGAACTTTTTAACTTGTGATGGGTCTCTAAGCCCAAAGTCACCAACAGCAGCAGCATAAACTCACAAATGATGGCTCTAAAGCGATATGACTGCCATCTATGGTAGTCATAACTTAGAACATCTCTGATTCCGATGCAACAATGTGCATGATGCATACGTGTCATGAGAGAGATAGACACATGAAAATAATTAATGATGTTTCTCTTTCTTTCTTTGCACAGCCTTATCTATTTTTGGTAACGTTTCCTATGAAAATAATTAATTTCAACCTGTCTACATCTAGACGCTGTACTTGACATTGTGGAGAAAATATTACCAAAAATATATAAGACTCTTCACATTTTTGCATTGGAGATGCTCTACTTAATTTTTACGTGTCTATCTCTCTCATGCAAGGTATACACCGCTCACATTTTTGCATTGCAGATGCTCTAATAATCATAATAACTACATCATAACTTAGCAATTCAACAATCAAAGTACCAAAGTTGGTCTACCCTTTCTTCACCAAGAGATGATTATATATGCACAGATAACAGAACTCAAATTAAAAAAAACGATGCATGCATACTCGGTGACCCTCTGTTACGATCCCACACCGGTCAATTATGGGCTTGGCCGGTGGCTTATAAGCAAGGTGTTCCCTCCTAATCGGCTGGTCTTTTAGGAGTGAGTTCTACACCTGGGCTTATGGCACTGGTATGGGCTAGGTCCGTAACACCCTCAAACCCACTGGTTTAAACATCTTTTTATCCATCACCAGGAAGCAATCATAGAAATAAAAACCAACAATATACCTGCTCAGTTATGCAAGCCATAGCCTCGATTACAAGCGCCACGACATCTGAACGACGAATTGCACGAAATGCTTGATTTACAGCTAAAGCTTCTGTTTTGCTACCAGATGAAGCCACACTTGTCTTTTTTCTTATTCCTGCAGTATCAATGAGACAAAATTTCTGCAGAAAGAGGACCGATATAAATTATGTTTTAGTCAAAGTGAACACAATCAGATCAACCACTATTATCCACAGTATTTTCAGTGGTCACTACTAAATATATACCAGCAGCCTACTAGCCGACAATGAAATCAATACATGCCTAAGACAATCCAAACAAGCTTAACATAGGCTTCCTTTATAAAATCCAATTATCAGAAATATTACAGTGATATTCCATAATATTCATTTATATTTTATAAATGGCTGTTCCCTCTCCTTTTTCTCAAGGAAAGCTGATTGTCTTATAAGAAATAGGAAGAAGGAACCAATATACCCTTGAACTTTAAGTGTGAGAGCAAATATACATTCCAACTTCATTCTGGAACACTTTTTTTTTTTTTGAAAACATTCTGAAACACTTGAACACATAAGTTTTAAATTTGGAACAAATATACCACTGAACTATACATTAGATAATATATATACACCCTTAAGCATTTGGACAAAAGGGTAAATTCATTCTAAATTTACCATTTTTGTGTTTAATTGTTCCAAATGAAAGTTGAGGGGTATATTTGTTCTCTAACATATAATTCAAGGCTATATTTGTACCTTCTGCCTTATAAATATGCCAATAAGCAATTCCCAATTGAAATTGGGAAGTATACTTTTACTGGCATCCGTGTCATGGATTAAGATAACCGAGAATGTTAACTATTTCATGCAAGACCTGCTGATTTTTTCATCGTGATGTTCACACAACAAAATTAATTTTAAATGTCAGTTTTCTTGTTCAATCACGTTTTAAAGTTGAGAGGTATATTTGTTCTCTAACATATAATTGAAGGGTATATTTGTACCTTCTACCTTACAAATATGCCAATCAGCAATTCCCAATTGAATTGGGAAGTATATTTTTACTGGGATCCGTGTCACGGATTAAGATAATTGTGAATGTTAACTATTTCATGCAAGACCTGCTGATTTTTCCATCCTGAAGTTCACAACATAATTAATTTCAAATGTCAGTTTTCTTGTTCAATCATGTTCTAGAGAGACAAGATAAACATACCTGTCCATCAGATCCAGTAAATTCTGTATCAATAGCATCACGTGTAGTTCCACTGATGGGACTAACAATGGTTCTGTCTTCCCCAACTAAAGCATTCAAAATACTGCTTTTTCCCACATTTGGACGACCAACTATTGCAACTGAAATAGTGTAGTTTTCTTCATCTTCAAGAGTTTCCATGTCCTGAGCAACAGATTCTACGAAATAAACTCACTTGTACTGAAAGAACCTCATAAAAACTCACTTAGTACTCCCTCCATCCCTGAATAATTGTCTTGTTTTTTGTTTTTTGCAAAAAAAAAACGACTCATTTCATTTGGCCTTTTCTACTCAAATCTCAACCAAAAATTTTACTTTTTCAACCACTTTATTAATAAGCGTGCAGACCCAAACAAATATAAGAGTGATGACTGTTCTCATAACTTCCTATATGCAGCCCATATTAGTTTATTACTACACTACATGAACAAATGCTTTTCCGTCATTTGCAATGGAGCCAAAGACTCACTATTTTTTTGACTTAAGAATACGATGGAATAAAGCAAAATGGTTCACTAAACTGTATGTGCTTCTTTGTTATGAAGCAACAGTCAATCCATGCAATTTTCGAACGATTTTCACTATGTGCCATCCGGAAACAGTCTCTCTGTGCTTTAGTGCAGGGGTAAGACTGTGTACATCTGACCCCCCTTACTCCACTGTAGGTGGGAGCCTTTGCGGCACTGGGGTAATGATGATGATGACGACTACATGAACAAATGCACAAGTGAAGTTCACATTTTCTCTTTCTCTATAGGTGAAGGCAATTGGTAACTCCTTAGAAGGATTTTCCAAGAAAGAGATTGACATAAGGTGCTTCCCACCAATAGTCCAAATTACAAACTGAAAAGTGTAATAATAATGTACAGCAAAAGAACATTGAAAATGCATTTTCAGCTAAACTAAGAAAGTACCTTAACTTTCACTAATCCTGAGCAAACAAGATTTAGAAGCTCTCCAGTTCCAGTTCCAGATATAGCTGATATTGGAACTGGGGAGGATAACCTGATTGATGATGAAAAGAAAATGGTACGTAAGACCAGAAATCCATCATAAATGGTTCCCATGAATATTATTTATTAAATATCAACAAAGCAGCATGCTTTCTGAAGAGAAAAAGGAAACGTAGCAAAAATGAAATTTAGATTTGCATATCGCATTGGAAGGCAGCTCATGAGCCACTTCCAGTCTAGCATGGAGCTAGATGTAGGCAAAAAAGGTTCTTCTGTGGGGGCTAAAACAATCCAGATGGATTCAAACTTGAAACCGTTCCCTAACTTGCCTTTTTTGGGTCTGTTTTCACAAACTACCAAACAAGTTTATTTGTTGCCACCCCTTTGGTGATGTGAGATGGTAGTGAGGACAATAAATGGTTCCCATGCCATATGAATTATGAACTCAGAACACTGTATTAATTGACCAAATACCACACCGGCATGCATAATATCATCTACACTAATATGGGTAGATATAAGATGAGTGCACCATGTGTTATGAATTTTAAACTCCACTGTCATGTTTTTATATTTACGGAGTTTTAAATTAATTTTATGCGATTGCACAGTCAGATTTAAGGAACATTAATTTTACCCCAAAGACCAGAATTCGGATGCCTGCATGACTCCTTTACGTGGAGATTCACATTTGTTAACTGCAAGAATGACACACTTGTGTGAGTAGTTCTTGCGCAGCCAGTCCCCTATTTCCACATCTGCAGCAGTTGGACCTGCCTGTATGAAGAGTGTGATTATGCCTCATAGGTCTTCACTCAATGACAAGACATTAAAAAAACACATTTCTTGCAGGTAGAGATCAATTGGTTTTCAAAAATTTATGAGCTCAAAATGCATAAGCATCTTCATGCTGTAGGTCATTAGATGCCATTATACCCAGGCTAAAAACTACAGCCCACCTGTCCATCAACAAGAAATATGATGACAGATGATTCTTCAACAGCAAAAGCAGCTTGTCTTTCGATCATTGAAGGCATTTTGGCAACAGCAGCCTCCCGGGTTAAGAGTGGAATCCCTTCCATTCCAATGGTTGTTGATATAGCCAATTCATCAATCACTTCATCCTGAGACTTTGACATAGTAAGAAAACCCCCTGTATCCACCACCATAAATTCATCTTCTCCCCAAAAAGATCTCCCATATAAACGGTCCCGGGTTACCCCAGGTTCATCTACCACAATGGCCCTTCTCCCCTAAGAATGGTTGAAAACTTTCTTCATGTCAATTGAGATATTTAAGAGGTGTATAATCTAAGCATGAAAGAACTGTGGCACTTGGTAGAGAAAAAATCCAGTTGGGATATTTTAAGGGTTGGAAAATTTATTTACCCCAACAAGTCGGTTAAACAAAGCCGATTTTCCAACATTGGGTCTGCCAACAATTACAACCTTTGGAAGGAGATAATCAGGGACCTGTACATAAAATTCCTTGTTCAGCAAAATACTGAGTAAAAAAAACACTTTATTAATGTATGATCTCAAAGTCATGTAATGATGTAAATCACATGCTCATTGACCAAAATAATGGATTTGTTCTAAGAACTATCATACTAGTATATGTTTGTCCAAAAACAAATTGAATCTGAAAATAAAGAAACACAATTTAGTTTGATACTAGGTAGATTTTTTTCATCAAGCATGCCGCTTTACTGATGAACTTGAGGAGAATGAAAAGAAAAGAGCACCAAAAAACGCTCACACTACTTGTGGTATTTTTAGTTCCTTTCTGCTTCAGTGTTTCTTTCTCACTAGTTTTATCATCCTCTGAAAAAGGAAAATGTCAAAAGTATTACCATATATGCACGAAAAGGCAACTGAGATTTTTTTTAAACAAGGTCTCAGTGTGCTAATGCATTCAATTTGCATAGCCTCCTCACTAATCAAAATACAGCTGCGTTAGAGTTGCACCATAATTATTCACAAAACTTAAGCACTTTAAGACTGAATACAGACGTTCAAAATCTATTTCCCGGAGGTCAAAGGACTGCAATCAGTCATGAACCTATTTACATCCATTAAAGAACGAAATTAAGCTACCACACTAATAACTACGAAGAAAGCAAAGCAAACCGATTGTCAATTGCAAAGATAAGGACTCCGAGAACTCTCGAACAGCCTGACTAGCTTCCCGCTCCAGAGCACAAACATCGAGGCTATCTTCCTCGACGTATTCAACGTCATTCCCTTCCCCTGCAAGCAATTCATCCACCTCTATTTCTCGTTCTCCGTAGACCCGAGCTGCGGGAGAAACACAATGCCGGCGGGAGAAGTTCAGGAAGCGGCGGCGGCGGCGAGGGTGGACAGAGGAAGCAAGTAGAGAGCGGGTCGAAAGTAAATAAGTGGTTGAGGTGGGAATATAAGTCAGCGGAGACGAATAGCGAGGTGATACTATAGAGGTGAAGGGAGAGAGAGGTCTGAAGAGAGAAAGTGACGAACAAAGCTCCTGGCATGACATTGTAGCTCGCTTCCAGATATCGTCTTCTTCCTTACCGCATTGAAAAACGCAGGAGAAAAAGCTAAGTTTTGTGGATATAATAATAACTCTCCCACACCGGAGAGGATGAGAGTTTGGCTAGTTTATCATTTCTATTTATTTTGGGCGTTGGTTCTACGTGAGGGTTAACCCGTCCTGTCGGGGGTGAAGGATCGACTCGCTAATGATCGATATAGTGACCGGCGGGTCGTGCCAACACCCACGCTAACGAACACAATCAGTTGAAGGCGAGTGAGCCCAGCCCTACTTTGGTTGGGCTTGCCCGTCAATTTTTGGAAGCCCCCTCATCTGTTGGGGGCTCTCCCAATTAAATTTCAATTCAATCTAGGCCCAAAACACAATCTACTACTACGTACTTATAAAGCGCGCAATATATCAAAGATAAATACGGAGTAATATATTTTTGTAATATGGTAGAACCAATTTTGTAACAGGAGTATTAATTTTATGAACTTTCAATTAAAAGCTATGCAACTAAATGAAATTCATAAGAGTGAACTACTTATGTGATCAAATTAAGAAGCTGTTCCGTTCGTCTTAATCTTATTACTTATTCCTTAATCTTATTTTATTCAGATCAGATCAGAAAGATTCAGATCAGATCAGAAAGATTCAGATCAGATCAGATCAGAAACATTCAGATCAGATCAGAAAGATTCAGATCAGATCAGCAACATTCAGATCAGATCAGAAAGATTCAGACCAGATCAGACCAGATCAGAAACATTCAGATCAGATCAGAAACATTCAGATCAGATCAGATCAGATCAAAAAATTCAAACATGATTTATCACTTTTATTATTATATTAATTATGATTATTATATTATAGTTATTGTTAATAATATTAATATATTAATATAATAATATTATTAATAATAATATAATAATAATGTTAATAATATAAAATCATTATTATATTATAATAATATAATATAATATAATATAATATAATATAATATAATATAATATAATATAATATAATATAATATAATATAATATAATATAATATAATATAATATAATATAATATAATATAATATAATATAATATAATATAATATAATATAATATAATATAATATAATATAATATAATATAATATAATATAATATAATATAATATAATATAATATAATATAATATAATATAATATAATATAATATAATATAATATAATATAATATAATATAATATATTTATAATTATAAATATAATTATGATTTACAATGTAATTATAATTATAATCATCATTATTATTAATATGATTGTTGTTCTTGTTGTTATTTTTGTAATTATTATTACTTCGGAGTAATTATATATTTAAATTAGTAATTATAGATATAATTATGATTATAGAGATAAATATTATAATTATAATTACAAAAAAAATAATTATAAAATTAATCATAATTAAAAATATAATTACATTTATAATTGTATCTGTATTTATAATTAGTGTAATTGGTATAATTATTATAATTTTATATTTAATTTTAATTATTATTTTTTTACAATTATGATTATAATTGTAATTTTATTTAAGTTATATTTTTAATTACAATTATAAATCTAATAATTATAATTATAATTATAATTACAATTATAGAAATATCCAAATCAGATCAGAAAGATTCAGATCAGAAGAATTCAGATCAGATCAGAAACATTCAGATCAGATCAGAAACATTCAGATCAGATCAGATCAGCAACATTCAGATCAGTTCAGCAACGTTCAGATCAGATCAGAAAGATTCAGATCAGATCAGAAAGATTCAGATCAGATCAGATCAGATCAGAAAAATTCAGATCAGATCAGATCAGAACTTAAAAAATTCAGATCAGAAACATTCAGATCAGGTGAACGGAACAACTTCTAAGTCATGTTTCCTAGTGGAAAATAGATTTGTAATCTTTTGCCTAAAGAAATATTAGTAATCTTTATGAGAACTATTATTGAAAAACCATGTAATGTTTTTAATAAAACCAATTTATTCGAAAGGTCATAGATAAACAGTTGAAATTATAGGCCAAATTAGCCTATTTTAAAGCTGGTGGTAATCTTAGTGTAAACGGTCTTGTTATATAATTGGAAATGACATGAGTGTCAAACTATCATTGACGATTGTAATTAAGATTTATATTAAATCTTAATTCAATGGACTAAACCTTGTATGAAAATTTGGATTTGGAATGCAATGGACCTTGAGACTTGCACTAAACCTTAATGGTTCTAGACCTGGGTCCTAGTCAATTTGGCCAATTTTGTGCAGTTTTCCTCAAATTATTTTCAAACAATTAAAACTGCATAATTTTCGGACAGATGGGACATTGCGTCAAAACTCACCATCATTGTTTGGCATTTAAGAGAAAGAAAGCATTCTTCATTCCATGTATTCTCTACTTTGTACTTTTGATCTTGTGGCTAAAACTTTGAGTGTCTTTAAGCAATCCACATATTCGATTATCATTATCCCTTAATTTCCATAACAAAGACTTCAATATTACAAATATTGAGAAGATAAAAAAACATCGGCAACACGCATACACACATTTAGTAATCATAATGAGGGCCAAAACATGACAGAGAAAATTAATAAGGCCAAACGAGCACATCAATACAATTACTAATACATTTGATACATGAAAAGTAAAATATTGTTTAAGGAATTAAATAATTGAGTAACACATGTAGCACAATTATTAATGATAAAGGGCAAGATTTAGTAGGGATAGAAGTAGAATCAGTACAAATCGTCTATAATCACAATATTTATAGGGTTCGTCGAGAGATAGATTTGCTAGATTGTTAGTTGCATGATGTATGACCAACCAAGAAGAAGAAGACGGAGAAGATAATGAACAAAAGAGATGAAACATAAAGTAGTGACAGAAGTTCGGTCAGAGGACCATTTACTAAAGATTCGAAAGAATTGTCACTAACAGAGTACATGCAAAAAGTAAAAGCAATTTTAATGGAGGAGCAGATTAAAAATCACACCACTAATGTTCCAAAAAGTATGAAAAAGAAAGAGGATGAACTAGTCCCATGCCCATCGGATTGCAATCAGACAACTTCACTATAAGTAATAATGTAGAACTATGTTAGAACCATGGTTCTAAAAATCGGCCTAGACCCCCTGCCTAGTCGCTAGGCGGTGGCCGGGCGCCCCGATTTCGTTCTAATCGGTGGAAAAATCATTTCAGGGCCTAGGCGGGTGCCTAGTTGGCTAGGCGGGCGCCTAGGCGGACGAGGCGGTTGCTAGGTAGCCTGGACTAAATTTTTCCCCGAACCAACTTTTTCCCCGTTTTATCTTAAAACACCGTGTGATCAAGAAGTATTCTATTCCTATATAATTTATTTTCATATTCCCACGGTATAAAAATAATTTTTAAATATAAATAAACTTTTTAGAATGTATTTTAAGATTTTTAGAGAGTAAAAAACACATATATCCTAATTTATTTATCAATTATTATTATTATTATTGATGATTCTACTATAAAAAACTTAACATTTAATGATTATATGAGTCATTTCTATTCTCAAAATAATATAAAATTATTAGTAATATAATTAAAATTCAACAGAAATAAAAAAAGAAAACAAAAGGTGACGGGAAAATACCTGGGCACCCTAGTCGGCGTGTAAAACCGCACCCCCGAAAAAAAAAACTCACTTCAAATATTTGAAAGTGGATAAAATCTTTAGCTTATGGGATATGAAATTTTTGTTAACAGATTAATTATTCTTATTATTATTATAATTATTATTATTTATTTCCACCGGATGTGAGAAATCTTAACTACAAATATACGAAGTATATAAAGAAAAAGCTTACATATTAATTAGCCTGGCTTGTCCTTGAAATTAAACCCTACGATACATGTCTGATGTCTCTTCCCACCATACAGGCATGTTATGTTGTCACTTGTCACATTACTCAGGCTATCCTCATACTTTCTTATTCAATGAATTTACTATCCAAATCCTCAAAATATCAATACATGTGGGGATAATACTTTTGTTTCTTTCAAACTATTATTGGCCGTCTACAGCTAGTATGTGTATATATATATATATATATATATATATATATATATATATATATATATATATATATATATATATATATATAGAGAGAGAGAGAGAGAGAGAGAGAGAGGAAACTTCATGTCAGGCCGGCCTGACGGGCTGCCCCGTCCGGCCGAGCCCGTTTGGGCACCTTCCCGGTGGAAGTTTTTGATGAAATTTTTTGAGCATGTTCCTCATCAAGTCTAGTTTGTCCATGCCAAATTTCAGCTCAAAATTCGATCGGGAAGGTCGTCAAATGATTTTTTCAAGTTAACTGGTCCGGAATATGTATTTTCCAGACCAGTTAACTTGCAAAAATCATTTGACGACCTTCCCTATCGAATTTTGAGCTGAAATTTGGTATGGACAAACTAGACTTGACGAGGAACATGCTCAAAAAATTTCATCAAACAATTCCACCGGGAAGGTGCCCAAACGGGCTCGGCCGGACGGGGCAGCCCGTCAGGCCGGCCTGACATGAAGAGCACTCTATATATATATATATATATATATATATAGAGTCCTGATCCTGTCCAGACGTCCGGACAGGAACCGCCGTCCGGCCGGCGGCGTTTGGCCGCCTTCCCGGTGGAATTTTTTGATGAAATTTTTATGGCATGTTCTCCATCAAGTCTAGTTTATCCACAAAAAAATTCAGCCAAAAACTCAATCGGGAAGGTCGTCAAATGATTTTTGCAAGTTAACTGGTCCGGAATATACATATTCCGGACCAGTTAACTTGCAAAAATCATTTGACGACCTTCCCGATTGAGTTTTTGGCTGAATTTTTTTGTGGATAAACTAGACTTGATGGAGAACATGCCATAAAAATTTCATCAAAAAATTCCACCGGGAAGGCGGCCAAACGCCGCCGGCCGGACGGCGGTTCCTGTCCGGACGTCCGGACAGGATCATTTGTGTATATATATATATATATATATATATATATATAGAGGAATGTTCATGTCAGGCCGGCCTGACGGGCTGCTCCGTCCGGCCGAGCCCGTTTGGGAACCTTCCCGGTGGAATTTTTTGATGAAATTTTTTG